TAACCATGGTTAGCAAATGATGGTTGATGGTGTGGATGAAGAAGTAGGGAGCAGAGATAGGTTATGTTTGCTTTTTGAATAACATTTCTGGAAGAGGTCAAAATTGTAAATGTTTCCCATCTCTGCCAGAGGATGGCAGATAGCTGGATTTGAAAAGTCTCTTGACTCTTTCTGCAGAGTCAGTGCTGAAAGTGATGAGAGCATATGCCACCCTCCATGCTCCTATCATGCTCCTCCTCTTCCTACCTAGTTTCAAGGTGATGGTACTAACCTATAAAGCCCTAAATGGTTTGGGACCTCGATATCTGGTAAAGCTCCTCCTTCCAGTTAGGTCTGCCCACCCTATAAGATCATTGCAGGCAGGGCGGCTGAGAGTTCTGACCCCGAGAGAGGCCCGGAAAATAATCACTAGAAATTGGGCCTTCTTGGCGGTAGTGCCACAATTATGGAACTCTTTTCCTCCCAAAGTCTGCCAAAAAAGCTACTAAAAACCTGGCTATTTAGACAGGCCTTCCTTGAACAAAAACAACAACAATAACAACAACAACAACAACAACAACAACAACAAAACACTCTGATGCAATAGTGTCCGATAATATAACTTCTATCATACTGCCATGCTCAATGTTTTTATTTTTCTATGCTTTTAATTGTATTTATTATAATTTTATCCTCACTTCACTTTATGATTTTTGATTTGCTATTTTGTTACTTTCTTGTTTTTTTGATATTTGTTTTAAAACTGCCCAGAGTGGCCTTGGCTGCCAGATGGGAAGTATATCAATCAAATAAATAATAAATAAATAATATCCAAGGCCCTCCCTGATAGTTTCATTCTTCATAGCAAGCCATTGTGGGTGAGATGATTATGGAAACAACCAATTCCTATTGCTTCTTGTTTGAATATTGTCCCAGGCTTAAGGGACCTTTGGGATTTCTCAAAGCTCATCTCTCCCTTTTAGGCATGATGCTGAGAATCTACAGCATACCTAACTTCAAGTGGGAAAGGGAGGCAGGGAGTTATATACCGTAGATACACAAAATGGTACATGCATCTGCACTCTTATAAAAGAGAGCAGGAGCAGCTGTGTTAAACAATAAATAAAGTCCAAAATCCATGTTCCATATAAGGCAGGTACTCCAATAAAGGTATTCTCTTGTTTATGCTCTTCAGCAACTGATATACATATAGATATACACTTCTCCCTTCAACAACACTGGGTTTAGGGGTGCCAGACCTCTGTGTGGTTTAAAATCCATGTGGAACTCTTATGCCCTCCAAAATGTAACTACAAAGCATAAACAGTTCTCTCTCTCTCTCTCTCTCACACACACACACACACACGCACGCACGCACGCATGCATGTGCACACACACAGAGACCGTCATCATTGGACCTGGACCACCACACTGTGAAAAACAGTGCCCTAGGAAAGCCCACCTTCCAATTAGCAATCATTAAATGAAGCAGCCAGGAATGTAAGGTATAGCAGCGAGGGAAAGTGCATGCTGTGGTAAGCGATTGTCTTTCACCATTTAAGAGAGCACCACATTCTACTTAGGAGCTAAACACATTGTCTAGTCTGACCTCAAGTTGTTGGCCAGTGGCACATTTTGAAATGGCAAGTTCCACAGTTTGATTATCGGCTGGGTTTAGAATAGCCCTGTATGTTGGAAACACAGATTTATCTGTTTGAATTTCTCACCAATAATTCCTAAGAATATTTCCTTTCCCCTTACTATTCTATTGCTCTTATTTACTCTGTTGCTACTTCTGTACTATCTCACCCCCCAATAAGTATACCTCTTTTCTTCATCTCTGATTAGTGTATGGAAACCCTAGTCAATCAGGGTTATTGCCCTCAATCTGAGATATATAAACAATCAGGTCCAATGACTTGATGATGTCACTGAGAACAAACAAAGGGAAGGCAAACAGAGCCAAGATGGGAAAGCGTGTGATACAGCAGAATGCAGTAGACAGCAAAAGAATCACAATGAATGCAACAGAAAACAGATACATGGCAAATGAGTAGACAAGGAGAGGGGTTTCTTCTGCCAAAAATGTTGCTGAAATTAAAAAAAAATCAGAATTTCAGCTGAATCCAACCTATGATGCAGTTTTCATACACCAGTTTTTCTGTTGATTTTTCTGTCTTCCCATGGCTTGTGATGGAATGAATGTCTCATTTTGCACTATAGGTTTATAATGTGACAACTCTGTTTCTAGATTAAAAGGCTGGCTACTTAAACAGCAGCCAAAAAAAGAGAGAGGGCCTCTATCACTAAAAAGCAAAAAGCAAGAGGAGACTATTTTGAATAAAATTGTATATGGAGGTCACCTTCAAAAGGAGGATTGTCCTCCAGCAACTCTTGTGAATTTTGTTGTATGTGTATATACTTACAATGACAATGAGGACACCTTCAAAAGGAGGATTGTCCTCCAGAAACTCTTCAAATGGAGTCTCTCTTCAAAGTGGTAATTTAGGCACCTTGCATGTCAGAAATACAGCTCTGAAAAGTAGTACTTTGATGGGGTCTATGAATATGTCAGAATGAGGTGATGGAATCCTGGAAATATAAAATGGACATCACCACTTTTGTCCTGCATGTGGAAAGTACATTTCTGAACACTTTCTTCCTGTTGGAAACCACACCATAGGCACAGTCATTGCCATTGCATAAGGCCCTTCATTAAGGAGGTGCAGGTTGTGTTCCTGACACAAGTCTAATTGTGTGCTTAATCATGCCTCCAGGAACACAACCAGCACATGGGTTGTGGGCAGCAATTGTGCTGAGACTTCCGTGATTTCTCTTATGCAGATATATGTTGGCAATAGCATTCTGGCCAGTGAGATTTCTAATGACAATCCTTGTATGAATAAGTCGCCTGCAAGCAGAAAACTAACAGTGGAGTGAGAGGACTGGATTTTTGTTGTTTAGTTGTTTAGTCGTGTCCGACTCTTCATGACCCCATGGACCAGAGCACGCCAGACCCTCCTGTCTTCCACTGCCTCCCAGAGTTGGGTCAAAGTCATGTTGGTAGCTTTGATGACACTGTCCAACCATCTCATCCTCTGTTGGCCCTTTCTCCTCTTGCATTCACACATTCCCAACATCAGGATCTTTTCCAGAGAGTCTTCTCATGAGATGGCCAAAGTATTGGAGCCTCAGCTTCAGGATCTGTCCTTCCAGTGAGCACTCGGGGTTGATTTCCTTCAAAATGGATAGGTTTGTTCTCCTTGCAGTCCAGGGGACTCTCAAGAGCCTCCTTCAGCACCACAATTCAAAAGCATCAATTCTTTGGCAGTCAGCCATCTTTATGGTCCAGCTCTCACTTCCGTATGTCACTACAGGAAAAACTATAGCTTTGTCTATTCGGACTTTTGTTGGCAAGGTAATGTCTCTGCTTTTTAAGATGCTGTCGAGGTTTGTCATCACTTTCCTCACGAGAAGCAGGCGTCTTTTAATTTCATGGCTGCTGTCGCCATCTGCAGTGATCACGGAGCCCAAAGAGGACTGGATAGGAGGACCCTAATGAACTTCTTCTGAAGGAAAAGTCCTGCCATCATAGCAGTATCGGATCATACCTGTTGCAGAAGCATTGTTGTCATGCAAATGGAGGGTGGGAGGGTATTCATGGCGATTGTCAGTTATGCCCAGTGCTTACATAAACAACGCAGTCTTGCATAGCTACACTGGTGGGGCTTTCCATTCTGTGGACGTTCAAGAGGATGCTTGCCTGAATATTTTGCATGTTCTGACCTAGGATCACAGGAGCTTCATTCTTTGTGCATGGACAAGCATTGGGGGAAAAAAGGATGTGTCTGAAATGATATAGTCTTCACCACCACCTTCAAGACTGTACCCTTTTTGATCACGCTGGTGCAGAAAGAAAGCGAGGAAAAGGAACAAACCTATCGGCTTAGTTCCCACGGAGATAAATGGTGGGAGAGATAAAATGGAAAAACTAGGGAAACCCCATATGATAAATAACAACTAAACTGTTCCCATGAGAATGGAAGAATGTGATGTTGATTTTAAGTATTATGTATGGTCCATGGAGGGAAAATGGACACATTGGGTGTTGTGCTTGAAATGGCCTATATGAAAGTAGACTGGTCTAATATTACATTGTGCACTCACCTAGCTTTATGACTGTAGGGTATGCTCTGCAAAGCTTTCGATAATAAAAAAGCAAAAGAAAATACATCCCCCCCTTCCCCTCAAAGGCTACAGATGGAATGCTCACCAATCCCCTGATGGCAAAAGCTGTGTTTATTTTTAATTAAAAAATAACAGAGCTGAGTTGAGTTCAGTTTTCCCAGCTGTTATTCTTCCATCATAGCAGCCCATTGGCTGTTTTCCCCTTGATAATCCCTGTCATTCTTTTTTTTTCCCACTTGGCTTGAATGTCTTTACCTAAAAAAATCTATATTAACATTAGTGAGCATTTCGTAATACAAATGCCCATTAAGGGATAAGTAGCCCTTTCGAAACTGGGCATAAATTCCACAGTTCCAATCCCGTCTTGTGCAAAAGAAGTGGGCCCTAACCAGGATGTACACCTTGTATTATATGGTTCCAAGGTGTATTTAAGCAGAATAAGCATCAGTGGGACAAAAGTGGCTCAATTCATTTCATGAATCCATTTATCTCTTATTTTGTCACTCTATGAGCACAGCTTCTTCATTTATTCATTCCTTATTGTGAAGTTGCTCATGTTCTTGTCTGATTTAGGAAATTCTAAATTATCAGTCCAAAGAACAGTCAGGAAAATAAAGATTCTAGCTTATTATGTAGCTGAATATATATCATGGGTTGAAGCTGTTTTAACATCTAGCAATCCTGTTTTGCCATTGGATGAAGAACTGTAGTTAATAAAGGCGTATGACATTGGTTGTATGTACTTTTATTCTTTTCAATAGGAGTGCGCAATAAGATGAAGACCTTTTGAACAAACTGTCTCATTTATTTCCTAAATTCTGCTCTCTCCGCAGTGTTGGTCTACACAGAGTGCAGTGTCGTTGCTCAGAATTAATCTTAGCCTCCTCTCCCTGTCCTTGGCAGGTGATTTACAGGCTTTGAAGGTGTCCATCTGTGTGAGTAGAATGGAAATTCCCACTTCTGAAACTCTTGTTCCTTTGCTTGCATCCCAACCCTCCACCCCTTGAATCCACATTCTGTACCATAAAAATGTGCAACAATTATAGTGAAGCAGTTCCTGGTATTTTACTTAAGGAAAACTGACATTTTATTTTTTTGGGGGGGGGGGTTACTTTGCTTAATGAGAAGAAGGGAATTCCATGTTTTGCATAGCTGAAATCCATACTTCATCCTGCCCATGGTAAAGTATGCATCATCTTGGAAGTCATCAATCTAATTCCCTGTTTAGTACAGGATCTGACCTTGGCATCCCTGATGCATGGCCATTCAGCTTTTGATTAAATGCCTCTAGCAATGGAACATACCTGACTGAATAGCTCAGTGGTTTAAGTATCTGGCCAGGGGGTGGCTGTTAGTTTCCTCATCATGCTTCTCAGGCGGACAGCCAGCCTATGTAGCCACGGGCAAGCTGCCCAGTCTCAGGAGGCCCTCAGAAGAAGCGAACGCTAAACCTCTTCTCAGTATTCTCTACCTAGAAAACCCCAGGAGGAGTTGCCACGAGTCAGAATTAACCTGATGGCATGCAATTAATATGAGCAATGGGGAATCCATTACTGCCCGAGCATCATTCCTGCTACCTGACTGATGACCATTATACGGTGAATTTTGTAGTCATCGTATGGTGCTAAAAATGACGAATCCATTACTGCCCGAGCATCATTCCTGTTACCTGATTGATGGCCTTTTGTCCATTATACGGTGAATTTTGCAGTCATCGTATGGTGCTAAAAATGACAGATTTGTGGAAAAACTTGGGTGACAAAACATGAGTGTAAGATGTAGCCTGTATTTTCATTATCTCACAAAACAGTTGAGTCAACAACTGTAACTTCATAGGAAACTTCCATATTCCAGGAAGAACTGTTTGTCCATCTAATCCAGCACAATCTGCTTTGACTGTGGAGCTTGGAAAATGAAGAAGAATTAATATAATAACTTGTGAAGGACATTTATTAGTGGATCTTAAAGCATCATTCAACCACTGCCTAGTTATGGATGTTGTAGCACGTAGTTACTCTTTAACCAGATGCTGAGGAGCTCTTCTCCATAATAAAGCTCTGGATATTGGACAGGAATCTTTAATCTAATTCAGTCTTTTTATCTGCAGATGCTACTGATATGGGAGATGCCCTTTTTACATTCCAGTACTGTATATACTCTGCTATTGAATAATGGTTCTCTGGTTACCACGTCTTATCTTTGCATCATAAGGCACATAAAGCTGAGAGATGATTCCTTATCCAAGACCACCCAGTGATTGTCATAGCTGAGTGGGATTTCAACCTATCTCTCTCCATTATTAGTGTCATCCTTTGTAATTTATCCTGTGCAATAAAATTAATTTTAAATGACATTTTTCATAACTGTATTTCAAAGTCTTTTAAAAATTCCGATCTTCATGACGGTGTGGGGATTTGGATCTTGATTTCCCCATCTTAGTCCATCATTCCAGCCTAATCTCAAGAATGACCATAATTCTGCTTTGATTTCTATTTTCATAAAAAATTTTGGATTCTCTTTTTGCATAACTGCTTTAAATGTTTTTCTTTATATACCTAATGGGTATTTGTGGGCAAGGAGAAGCTTCATAATGTTTCACTGGTTTTCAGTGTAATTTTACTGATCCTAGAAATACAATTTCAGTGACTCAATCCCACTTGGAGTTGTATAGACACAATGGCAGAAATTCAGTTGGCACAACTCTGCTGCATAACTGGTGAGGTTGTCATTCCCTGGCAATGTTAATCTTTATTTTAATTTAATTTATTATTATTATTATTATTATTTATTTAATTTATACCCCGCCTATCTGGTCGGTGAGGACCACTCTAGGCGGCTGACAACAATAAAATACAGTAGCAATATAAATAAACAATAGTTCCTATTCCCTCCAACCTAGTTCTGAAGCTTCTTAGGGATCATTTTTTCCCTAGAGAAAACTTTGGGAGCCTCAGGAGGATGGGGGAAGCCTTTAATATTTAAAATTTCCACCAGATCATTACTGGCAGACCTGACTCAGCAGCAGGACTAGTGACAATGGCTTTCTAATATTAAAGGCTTCCCCCCCTCATTGCGAGGCACCCAAAGTCTTCCCCAGAGCAACCGGAATCCCTAGGGAGCCTTGGATTTTGAAGGGGGAAGCAGAAATAGGAAGTGTTCAAATAAAATAAAAATTAATGTTCTGGGTGATGTCATCATTACCATTTAAACCCAGCTGAGATGCACAAGAAGATGTTTAGCTACTGAAATGAGTATGATAGAAGTTAGCAATGACTGACTGAAATTCCATTGATTTTAATACATCTGTCCTAGGTGTAGTCATAGATTGTTATTGGAGGTGGATAATCCGCAAAAGGTGTTTCTGTATGATTGATGGGATAGTGAATCCCAAAGCTCTTTTAATTCTCCAAAGTGTGAGAAGTCAGTCATCCCATTCATTTGAGTAACTAATCCCAAATTTGGATTTGAAGCATAGGATTATATTAAGCCCTTAACACAGGTGAGGACCTAGTCTTACATCTTAGTGGAACTAGCCTTCTGATTGACAAGAGATGTCCAAAGGCAAACATTCTTGGTAGACATTCTTTTCCACCATGCTTAAGAGGTCTTCCGTACAAGCTCTATTACCTTGTCTCCAGAAATCAGTATTACATCAAAAAGATAATAGAAGATTTGCTTGTTTTTACTCACTGAGTGCTATATGAACAGGTCTCCACATTTCCCTATTTATATGGGAATATGAAATGTACCTTTAGATAAATGTACATGCCACTTTGGGTTTTTGAAGCTGTTTTCAAAGGATAGGAAGAGCGGTTGTGTGTCATTCGCTATTAGGCTTAGCTTCAAAAGTCTGACTGAGAATGAGGCTGACTCTTAAAAGGAGCAAGATTTGAGTGAACAATAGCTTTATGATGCCAGATCTTCTGGCAGACTAAAAAGGCGTGTGACTTCAATCGCATGTTTTGTTGAAGGCAGGCATCTCATCTCTTCTGAAATATTTTAGCCTTAAGCAAAAACAGGACTTTCCCTTGTGAGTGCAAACGGTGCAATCTGGAGCATAATTGTTGAATTTGGAATGTAAGGCTTGTTCATAAGAGGACAGGTGCTATAAGCTGGTTTGCAGCCGAGGATTCTGACTGGAAATGTCTGCAACCTGATCATTGTAAATTGCCAAACTTTGAACCCCTCCTGTCATTTTTATCTGTATTCATTTATCTTAACATTCATCCACATGGATAAAAACACTTGCACAGAGTGACATTTAGGAGACTCTCTACTCCAACAGTAATTGCAACATATTGAGAGCTAGCAGTAGAAACAGGGTGACATTTTCTCATATTTTCTAAACCCATTGAGAATTCCAGTGTCCCTCACCATGAATGGAGTCAACCCACTGATGACCAGTGTGTGTCACTTCTGCTTCTAGCCATCATGGTTTGCCAGACAATGGCATGGGGTATCTTTTGCTCTAACAGATTACATTGCCTAGGGTAAAAAGCACTCCAAAAGTAAAACACAGCAGATTTCTTCTTACAATGTTTGTCTCAGCTGTTTATTATTTGTAAAAACAAATAAACCAAATTCTACCTGACAAGTGGCTGAAATACAGGACCATTTTTATCACTCTTCAGATGACACTCATAATGTGCATATGTTTTTGGCTTAGTCCTGTGCTAATTTTTCCAAAATATGAATCTGGAAAACTAAATTGTTCTATCTAGGCTGTTTCCCCGAAAATAAGACCTAACCTGGAAATAAGCCCTAGTATGATTTTTCAGGATGCTCATAATATAAGCCCTACCTCCCAAAATAAGTCCCAGTTAACTGAAACCCCACCCTCCATAATTGTGCAGCAACCAGAAGAAGATGACATAACTGTATTTGAATAAATGTAGATTGTTTTACATGAAAAAAGTAAAATATCCCCTGAAAATAAGCCCGAATGCATTTTTGGAGCAAAGATTAATATAAGCCCCTGTCTTATTTTTGGTGAAACATGGTAGGTGGGTAAGGATTAACCCTGTTTTTTTTCTTTTTAACTATATTCTATTTTTATTTTTAGTTTATTTCTTGTATTCTCTCAACTGTTTTTATGTGCCTGAAGAGAGAGTTAATGGAGGCATTTTTCTGGTACCCTAGAATCAGACTTGCTATGAGACTGATTCTAGGGTACCAACTGGCTCCTACATGCTGCCAAATTGCCTGTGAGTTATAGTGACCTTATGAATGAGCGATCAGAAAAAAATTTATTTTTATTTTTAGTTTATTTCTTGTATTCTCTCAACTGTTTTTATGTGCCTGAAGAGAGAGTTAATGGAGGCATTTTTCTGGTACCCTAGAATCAGACTTGCTATGAGACTGATTCTAGGGTACCAACTGGCTCCTACATGCTGCCAAATTGCCTGTGAGTTATAGTGACCTTATGAATGAGTGATCACAAAAAAATTCTGTCCTCAAAAGTCCTGCTCAGGTCTTGTAAATTCTAATCAGTCTATTACATTCTCTTTTTCCTGCTGCCTTCCTCTTTTGCTGGCGTTATTGTCTTTTCTAGCTAGTCTTGCCTTCTTGTGCTATGCTCAAAGTTTGATAGCATCAATTTTCTCATTTTTACTTGATTCGACGTAGGATCCACACATGTTTGTCTTTCTGGTGGTCTGGGATATCTGCAAAGCTCGTCTCCCACCACCTATAAGACTACAGTCTAAATTTAGACATACCACATTTCTACTCCCATGCTCCTCAGTCTAGTCCCATTATTCATTAATCCACATTGTCATTTTTTTCTAGGGTTCTTTTCGTTTGTGGTGGAGTTCATTCCGGTAAGAAAGAAAAGCTAGGGAGAGTCCAAAGTAAATGGTTTGTCTGAAGCAGAGTTGTGACTACAGCAAGGTGGCTGGAGCTTTGACCAAAATTTAGAGGATACAAAAATTGTTGC